ATATATATATATATATATATATTCTTATCAAGGATGCCTTTTAGGTAAGTTCTTCTTACCTAACATTAAAGATTGAAACATCTTTTTCTTACCTCCTTGTGAATGTAATGGTACGTAATTTTATTTTAGAATGGATATTTTAATAAAATTACCCATAAGTATTGAATTTCTTGTTGACCAATATAACATACTAAAATTTTATTGTATGTCCATTTTGTATGTGATAGTGTGTTTGTTTTGAGAATTACAAAATAGAGAATAATCCACACCCCTCGTACTTACGCTCTTATTTCCACTTGTTTTTTGTAGTAGGACATGACACATATTGGGTCTTGTAGTAGTCTTGAGTTAAAAATCATCTTGATTAAATTAATCAATAATATTATTATTGATATATATCCATTTTCTATTACAGAAGAAAATACTCAGGAAACATCCCAGGTGAAGAAAAGTTTGACTGAAAAAGTTTCTCTCTATAGAGGTGACATCACATTGCTAGAGGTAGATGCTATAGTCAATGCTGGTGAGTAGGTGATTTTTCTGTGATGTGTTATATAAGTATTATTTCAAAATATTTTTTGTAATTAAGAATATAAGTATTTTAGAAAAAAATGCTTTCTGAAGTATAAATGTCTATTCTATTTCTCTTCTTGATTAAACACATTGGAGATCTATGTTTTTGTATGTTCTGCAATTAATGTGCATCTACAGCACCCTCTACAGTGAAAGGTGCTAGGTTGAGATTAGGATACTGGACCACTGGAAAAGTGACAGATTGTTGCAGAAAGTTCTTCAGAAAGAACTTTAGCAAGTATATATATTATTGTTACTTTCATAACTTGAATTAATAGTTGGCCAACATAAATACAAGCTCATCAAGCTTTTTTTCTTCTTTTGAATAGGTTGTCAGGCAATGATTGAACTGTGTAAGACAAAAGTGAAAATATAAAGAAATTATTTCAGTGATTTCAAAACTTAAGTTGTGTGGGTTCCACTTTTCATTTTCATCATGAAATGCTTAATTTTAACCAGCATATTTTAATTATTTTTAATAATTAATTGTCTAGTTAATTTTCCTATTTCAACATTGGGAAAAATTTAACAGATGTTATATTTTATTATGTGGCTATATATCAAAAAAGATGTAATAGCTGTGATTCTATAAAAATATTGTAAATGAGAGGATATTTAATGGTTTTAATTTGTGTTTTATAAAGTTAGGCTGTTTGAAGGTTGCAAGTGTCAATTAAAAACAAATCTGGACTTAGGTAAGGAGAGGCTTTATCTAAATAGACTATTACAATAAAAGGAGGAGGATGATTCCAATAGCGGGAGGCAGAATATTGTGTTATCGGGGATGTTTTTCCCTGAGGTCAGCTGGTTCTGGGGAATGGCCGTTAAGGAGGGGTGGCTCACCTTCCATTGCTTCAGGGTGGACCAAAGTTCAGGGGTTTCAAGGAAGGAGAGGAGCCTGACTAAAGTTTGGTCGGGTCGTTGGTGGGCATTGACCAACCAGAATGGCAAATGGGGACAAAGAGTTTGGTTAATCATGTGTGAGACAGAGAATGGGAATTTGGAAAGTCCGTTTCTGGCCTTGTCATTTGGCTGCAAGATGGTCATCTGTTAGTTTTATCTAGTAAGCCTGTTCCCAGAACACAAAAGGATAGGGGTAATTTCTTGACTGTGACTCTTTCCAAGAGTACAGAGTTCAGGTGAAGTTCAGTGTTATCTCCAGGTTCCCTGTGGTGATAATAAATTCACACAGGATAGTAGGAAAATGCATTGGCAGGCAAACAGAAGGGTCTAATGGAGAACTGAAACATTGTTCAAGGATATTGTACAGCTCTGGCAACTGAGCAGAAAGTTCAGAATACTGGTCTGCTTGTTGTTCCCTTAGAATTGGGTATCAGTTACAGCGGGGCACGGTGACTCATGCCTGTAATCCCAGCACTTGGGGAGGTCGAAGTGGGTAGATCACTTGAAGTCAGGAATTCAAGACCAGCCTGGCCAACATGGTGAATCCCATCTCTACCAAAAAATACAAAAATTAGCCAGGTATGATGGCGACCGCCTGTAGTCCCAGCTACTCGGGAAGCTGAGGCAGGAGAATCGCTTGAACCTGGGAGGTGGAGGTTGCAGTGAGCTGAGATCATACCACTGCACTCCAGCTTGGGTGACAGATTGAAACCCTGTTTCAAAAAAAAAAAAAAAAAAAAAAAAGGATTGGATGTCAGTTGCTTTGTTCCATAGCTGCTTTGCTGTAATCAAGGCTCAGTTTTCTCCTTTTCTTCTTCTGATGCTTCTGCACTTCCTTTCTCCTTTGCTGCTTCTGCTACCTGTCTAAAATGTAAAGTCTTCTTGAGAGAGGAGGCTGGGTCATTTAATCGCCACCCAATATGACTCACTCTTTCATCCTCAGGTTACCTCATAGGATACAGGTCTCCCTTGTATGTAGTATCTGTGGATTGTTCATTTGTGGCCCTGGGTATCAAGATGCTTTCTCTGTCCCGTGGGGCCTCTGGGGGAAGACAGGCCCTTAGAAAGGGTCTCGGGAAGTCCTCTCCAGTAGTTTTAATAAGATATCACTATAGATAGTAATTTAATGTATATGCCCTAAATTCTATAAATATATGAACTTTAATTTTAAAACATTCAAAAGATCATGTGTGTGTGTATATATATAAAAGATCGTGTGTGTATATATACATAAAAGATATATATGTATATATATCTTTATATATACATCTATGTGTGTATATATAAAAGATATATATGTGTATATATACATAAAAGATATATGTATATATGTATATATGTGTATATATCTTTTATGTATATATACACACACATATGATCTTTTATATATACACACATATGTATCTATATACACATGATCTTTTAAATTTTTAAAAATTAAAGCTCTGCCGGGTACAGTGGCTCACGCCTGTAATCCCAGTATTTTGGGAGGCCAAGGCAGGTGGATCATGAGGTCAAGAAATCGAGACCATCCTGGCAACGTGATGAAACCCCATCTCTACCAAAAATTCAAAAATTAGCCCGGCATGGTGGTGTATGCCTGTAAGTCCCAGCTACTTGGGAGGCTGAGGCAGGAGAATTGCTTGAACCCGGGAGGCAGAGGTTGCAGTGAGTCGAGATCATGCCACTGCACTCCAGCCTGGCGACAGAGTGAGACTCCATCTCAAAAAAAAAAAAAAGTTAAAGCTCATTTATTTATAGAATTTAGGGCATATACATCAATATATATAGACACATAAAAATATGTATTTATACACACATATCTTTTAAATTTTAAAAAATGTATGTATATATGTACATATGTATATAAATACACTGTCAGCCTTCCTGTATGTTCTTGTAATTTCTAAACATTACTCCTAGTTCTGTCCTGAGGAAGTACAATTGATCATATCTACTTCCTTTTTAAATACTTGAAGATCACTCTCACAGGTTTTCTCCTTCTTGTTGTTAAGATAACATTGATTTTGCCTTGTTAGCACACACTTAATAAGAGTAATAATGGTCTTTTCTTGGTTTTGCTATCTTCCCATGGAAGGCACACATTAGTACCATTTTCTCTTTTTGTGTCAACTCCTAAAGCAATGTCATCTCCTTCTTAAACATATTTAATACTGTGTATTTGTTAAATTGAATTATTTAATATATGGAATTGAACTTGTAGATCTCTGACTAATGGGACATTCAGCCTTGGAAACTTGACACAGTGAACCAATTGGCTCTGTTTTTTCTTTTATCTGATCAATTAATAAAAATATTTTGGGAGTAGTTATTGAAATAAAATAAAATGGTGCAAAACAGAAGAACATCATTAACTACGTCATCACTATTTTGTTCTTTTAAATATTATCTTGCTCTTTCCTAAATGTATAACTTTTCATAGCTGCTGCATAATACATAAGGGTATGATGAATTTATATGAAGACAGGCAGCAACTTTTGCTTACTCCCAAAATGATTTGGTAATTTTGACTCACCTCTCTGGCTGTGATGATTGTAATTTGGCCATGTTTTGCATCTCACAAGGATAGTCTCATCAGGAAGATCCCAGGTAGATGAAAAAGGGATGCCAAGTGAATATACACTGTAATGGCTCTATTTACAGCTTTCTACCGTGCAGTTTGTTTGCCTAGTGTGGAAGGAGTGGAACAGCTGTTAACTTTTCAAGTGAACAAGGCAACATGGCAGGAAACTATAGAACTGCCTCTACTGGAAGGGGAGTGAAAAACAGTACCCCTAGTCACTATGCCAAAGCAACCCTGTCACCTCCTGTTAGACTTCTGAAGTGCTCTTTTCATGACCATATTAGTACATTGGAACACCTGGTCTTAGTTGCTATGAATGAAATGATTTCATATTTTAAACTTCTTTCTAATAATGTGTGTTTTGAACTGCCTTAACCTCTTTAAATGTGACCCAGGATGGACTTCTTGTGTATTATATTCTTCTCTCTAGGAAATTATGCATGTTTAGTATGTTTTAATAAAACAGATTTTGCAAGCATTATAGTACACAGGGCGGTAGCACAAGTTTAGAGTTAGGCAGACCTGGGTTCAAAATTCAGGTTATCATAACCAAGGCCATTTTTTATTTAAACCTTTTATTTTGAAATAACGATAGAAAAGACAAAAATAGCACAGAGTCCTATGAACCCTGTATAAACTTCTCTCAGTGGTGGCTTTGTATATAGCTATAGTACAACATCAAAAGCAGATTTAAAAAAATAATTTATTTTAGATTCAGGGAGTACTTGTACACTCGTTACATGGTATATTCACAATGCTGAAGTTTGGAGTATGATTGATCTTGTCACCCAGGTAATGAGCGTAGTACCCAATAGTTACTTTTTCAACCCTTGCCCCTTCTTTTCCTTCCACCTTAGTAGTCCCCAGTGTGTGTTGTTGCCATTTTTATGTCCGTGTTTACCCAATGTCAAAACCAAAAATTGATACTGTTACATTACTGTTATCTAGACTACAGACTTTATTCAGTTTCAACCATTTTTAAACTTGCATTCATGTGAATGTGTGTATATGTGTGTGTAGTTCTTTGTAGTTTTATTTAATGCATAGAGTCATGCGACCACCACCACAATCTAGATACAGAACTATTCCATTATCATAAAAGAACTCCCTCATGCTATCCGGGCGTGGTGGCTCACGCCTGTAATCCCAGTACTTTGGGAGGTCGAGGTGGGTGGATCATGAGGTCAGGAGTTCAAGACCAGCCTGGCCAAGATGATGAAACCCCGACTCTTTTAAAAATACAAAAATTAGCTGGGTGCAGTGGCAGGTGCCTGTAATCCCAGCTAATCTGGAGGCTGAGGCAGGAGAATTGCTTGAACCCAGGAGGTGGAGGTTGCAATGAGCTGAGATTGCACCATTGCACTCTAGCCTGGGCAACAGAGCAAGACTCCATCTCAAAAAAAATAAAGAACCCCCTCTTGCTGCCACCTTTGTGTTTATATCCACCCATCTGCCTCCCTCCC